CCACAGAGCAAGCACAGGCTGGAGGGGAATATCCCGGACCGGGACCCTTGACACGGGAGGAGGTCAAAATGGCTGAGGTGGGTCACAGGGAGCCCCCAGGATCACTAGGAGGAGGGTCTGGGTGAACCACCTACTGTCTCCCCTCCCAAAAAGCCACACCAACCACCTCTCAGCCACTCAGTATGTCCCCGATTGGAGTCAGGGCAGCAGGGATTCCGTGGGGACAGAGAACGGCTTCCATGAGATCTTGGTCCCTCTGCTTGCCCTCAGTCACTCCCATGGCTTCTCAAGGCACCATGAGGGCTCTGCTCCCCAGACCAGACCCCCCAGAGCCAGTCAGCTCAGGGCCCTGCAGGCCCCTCCCTAGGTCACTTCCAGACCCTTTAGCCAGGGTTGGAGGACTGGTGGGGACTGTGCCACCACTTCGGCTCTGTGACCACCTCTCTCCAGAAGGCCTAGAGCACAGCTGCCAAGGGCACCGTCCTCCACATGTGGGGAGAAAGTACTGGGTGAACTGGGAGGGCACAGCGAGGGGGGAGGTGGCTGGACCAGGAGCCAGGAATCCCTTTCCTGGCTGAGAGAGAAAGCCTTTACACGCGCACACATTTGCAGGCACGGGTGTGCACCCACCCTCCCATCCCATGGTGCCATTTCCCCTCATTGGCCCCCAAAGTCCCACTTCCCAAGTCCTTCTATCTGGCACAGGTCACTAAGATGAATGGTGGCTTTGATTTGGGGACCAAAGCAGGGGTCCTGGGGATGACTAGAGGGCCCATTCTGCCTCAGTCCCAGCAGAAGTCCAAGCACCTACAGCTTTTCTGTCCCCTTCGTCATGAGGCCAGAAACCTCAGCCTTGTTCCCCAAGCTCAGGGCCCCGAAACACTTGTTCTTAACCCACAGTCTCCGGGAAAGCTGAACAGCAGAGCCACTCCCACATTTAAGAAGGAGCAATGGACCCCCTCGCTGGGGCCTCCTTCCTGACACTCTTGAGCTCCAATCCCCCCAATGCTCAGCCTGCCCCATGTCATCTTCCCCGCCCTGCGGTGCTTGTGGGACAGGAGAACACACCACTGGCCCCCAACCACCATGCCCGACACCGGGTTTTCCACGGAGACTCCCCGACTGGCCCCGAGTTCCAGGGGGCAGCGAGCAGGACCCAGTTTCCATGGCCTCACCTGCCACCTGCTTGCTGCGCTGGGAGGCCTCGGAGGCCAGGGCGTAGGAGATGTTGATGATGCGCTCCTGCTCCTGTATCTGTGAGTCCAGGTCGGCCACGCTGTTCCTCCGGTCCTGGCCTGAGGCCGGCTGCAGGTTGCACATGCTGTAGGACGGCCAGAGAGCAGGTGGTGGGCCCTCGCCACCCCACCATCTGCCTCTGGGGGAAGGGGGTCTCCTGGCCTGGGGCTCTCATCCTTGTAGGGGGCATTGATAAAAACAGTGCACTTTCGCCCAGCCGGCGTGGCTCAGTGGTTGAGCTTCAACCTATGAACCAGGAGGTCTTGGTTTGATTCCTAGCCAGGGCACATGCCCAGGTTGTGGGCTCGATCCCCAGTCGGGGGCATGCAGGAGGCAGCCAATCAATGATTCTCTCTCATCATTGATGTTTCTATCTCTCTCTCCCTCTCCCTTCCTCTCAGAAATCAATAAAAATATATTTAAAAACAAACAAACAAAAAACAGTGCACTTTCTCTCTAGACTAGACAAAGGTGTGCATCCTTCTCCGCAAATACCCCCAAAATCACAGCTTTGCTCTTCCTTTGGGGAATCACAGAACTCAAGATCAGAGCGCCAGCTCCAGGCTCCTGCTAAATCCAGATGTGCAAAGGCTAACTGAGCTCTGAAAGGGAGGCCTGAACACGTGAGGTTTATGGAGGCTGAGGGAACAGGGAAGCCACTTCTTAGGGCCCTAGCGTCCCGGGAAGTGGGAAAGTCTGGTGCCTCAGAACAAGGCTGGGGCGCCTGGCTCTGGTCTATGGGTCTGTCTGAGGGTACACGGGCCCTAATGCTAGAGCCCCAACTGTGTCCACGTCACAGCCATGGTTGGCTCTGCTCCCCACACGTGCCAGGGTCACGGGACACAGGAGAGGCCTTCTGTCTGAGGACTTGCCAGGTGGCCTAGGCCAGCTTCCTCGATGAGGTGCTGGTGACGCACTGAGCGCCAGCCAGTCCTTTCCAATGGGGAGGAAGCTGGCGAAACACACACCCTAGCCAGCCTGGCCCAGGCCCACTCCACTGAGACACCCATGGGATGGGGCCTGGCAGGCCGTCAGGACACGGGCAGCGGGAGGGCTGACCTGGACCGGGTGAGGATGCTGCGGATCTTCTCGGCTTTTCGATACCGCGCCTGCAGCTCCTCCAGGCTGGGCGGCTCCTCAGGGTCCAGATCCACGTAACGCTCAGGGATGGAGACCTTCTCTGGTTTGGACAGCTGAGGAGAGGACCAGGAGGCCATGCGGGGGGGAAGGGGTGGCGCTCAGATATTTGCATTCAGGACCCACGCCCACACCCTGTCCCTCACCACGAGGAAGCATGCGTGGCCCTCAGAGGTTGGCTTGCTAAGATCCCAATGGCAGCCTACTGAGGAGTCAGGATTGGAAGCCGGGTTTGACTCCAGAAACCATGTTCTTTCCACTCCACCCAACAACCTCCTACAGGGGAGGAGAGAGGGAGGCAAAACAACTGGACTAGAAGCCCTCAGGACAGAAATGACCATCCTCGCCTGGGATGCTCTTCCTTTGCTCCACTGACCCTGCCTCATCATTCCACCCGCACCTCGAGAAGCCTTCCGACCCTGCCCGCTACAACCTGCTGCTGTCTGAGCAAGGACCTGGCACTTAGTAGCCCCTGAGCAAATACTCCTTGGATGGCTGGTGGATGGGTGGGGAGGTGGATGGGTGGGTGGATGGGTGGGGAGGTGGATGGGTGGGTGAGCAGGTGTGCAGGTGGAGGGATGGCTGGGTGGCAACAGTGCTTTCTGTCCCTACGAAAGCTCCTCTGAGCTAGACAGGAGGCAGCCGTGCTTGTCTGTTTCCTGCTAGAGGAAAACGTCCCAACCCCTGCCCACCAGCCTTTCACGCGAACCCAGGAGCAGCCTCAGCTTCAATAGTCTCGACAGTGTCGCTGGGGCTGAGACTGCTCAAGGCCAGTTTTGCAGGCCCCGGGGGATTTTCCCTCCTTGAACGACAACAGCACGACTGCTGTCAGAGCACTAAATGGTTCTCAGAGGCTTCCGGTGTGGCTCGGGCTGCACGGGGGAGCCCTGCTGTTTTAGTCTTTATATCCTTGTCCTATTGTAAAATACATGTTGTTAACAATAAATAAAAACATGTCTTCTTAGATTTAAAAAAAAAGTGGGGCTGGTTGAAGTTTCTAAAAACAAGCTAAATCCAATCCCAGGGCAAATCTGGACTTGAATTTAAACCCAGGCTGCCCTTTCCTTCTGGTGAAAGGTGGCAAGAAATAAGCTCTTCTCCATGGCTTCCAATGAGGGCAGATCCAGAGGAAGGAAGTAGATTACATTGTAGCGGAGGGATTTAGGTTAGAGATAAGGAAGGACTTTTTCCCCTGGCTGGCAGGCAACGAGGACACCACAGAATACATTTTCACTGCCCGGGCAGCGTGCAGAAGCTTCTTTTGTGAACCTGAGAAAGCACTGACCTTTGGCTGCTTCAGAGGCAAAAGGTCTGAGGGCGGGGGACTCATTAACTCCTGGCGCTCCAGCTGACCCCAGAACTCATCCTCGGGGTGTCAATTTGCCCCCCACACTGCTAAGTCTACCCTTCGTGCGGTGAGCACGTTTCCTCATGCAGATTCAGGCCTGGCTAGTCCTCGTACAAATGTTTTTGGGATATCTGTGGGCCACTGTGTTTCATTCAACGGAGTCCTCATTCAGCAAATAGTTACAGAGCACCCGTTATGTGCTGGCCCGGTGTTCGGGGGCAAAAGTGAACCAACCAGCCATTAGAATCTGCCCTAAGGAGCTTACAAATGACACAATGGAGGTCACAGGAGACCACCCTATGTCTTGAGGACTGCATCTGTCACCCTCTGATTCCCTTTCTCTTCTAGGTAGAGACGTGTTGAATCTGTATGTAATTAATCCCCACCCGGGGGTGACTTGGTTTCCCAGGCCTGCCAGTCATGATGCATTGGGGACACCAGAGGGCGCCAAAGGAATTCAAACCAGAACTATGCAGGTCTAACTCCGGCCTTGGCTGGAAACGTCACCTGTGTTTTTCCAACCCGCCCATTTTTCTCAAGTCTGATTGCCCAAGTCGGCCCGAGAGGCCAGTGGCAAGGCCAAGGCTGGGCTTTGCAAGGAACATCTAACAATAACTACCTCACTCCATGCCTGCGCTGTGCCAGGCCTGGTGCTCATGGCCTTCTGATCATTGCTGATCCTCCAGGCAGCCCATGGAATCAGTTAATCCTCATCACAACCCACTTCACCACTGAGGAAACCGAGGCACAGAGCAGGTACATGACTTGCCCCAAATTACAGAGATTTGAATCTGCATCAAAACACTGGGCTCCTTTTATTGCCTCAAGCTGCTACCTATCCTGTCTCCTGGGCCACACTGCAGCTGAGCCTTATCCCCACTTGAGGACAACACCCCCCAGTGCCCCGAGGAGGGCAGGTCAGGCTGGGAGCCTGAGGGCCGTGCCTCCTGGGGCAGCATGAAGGAAGCCCCTGCCCTCACCTCTCTGCTGATGTCCAAGTCATAGTCTTGCGGCTCCAGGTCCAACTCAGTGACAGGCACGGCCTGCACTTTCAACCAGCCATCCTCCTCCTCGTCCTTCCTCTCCCCTTGCACGGCGCGGTCCAGCAACTGCAGGTCAAAGTCCTGCTCGCGCTTCCACTGGCAACAGAACAAGAGGGTTAAGTGTAGTCGCTCCCTGATGGCTGCAGCAGCCAGCCGGTCCCCTTCTGAATGGTCTTGCAGGCCCTGGGGTCCTTGGGAAGATGCACCTGTGATCCAATCGGGTGGAGCTATGTGACCCTGGAACTCAACCTCATCTCTAAAGCGAGGCAGCCGTGTTATGACACGGGCATCCCTGCTGTATGCTGTACCGCTCCGAGGAATGGAGAATGGGGCCTCTGTCCCTTTTAGATGGCCTGACTCCAGACTGCCGATTTCTTTCTGCTCTAGGCCCCCGAGGGTTCAAACATGATCCCCAGGGCACAGGTCCAAGACCCATGACTTTAGACTCACATGGTCCCCAGGGATATAGGAGGCTCCCAGGTTCAAGAGGGTGACACCTACACAACTGGGAGAATTCTGGAGAAGGGATTTGCCTCTCCTGCTGCCCCAGAGTCGGGGGAGCATTCTGGTGCAGGAGCCATAGGTCCCAGCTCAGCAATAATGGAAGAAACAAGCCCTTTGGGGCCCTGGTGAGCAAGAGGAATAGCCAAGAGCCTCTGTAAGGGGGATTCTCAACAGGATACCTTTAGGGCTGGGCCTACAGCACCCACAGAGGGGCTGGGGAGGCCCAAGCGGGAGCAGCTTGGGGTCAGTGAAGCAGATAAACTGCTGTGTGTCAAGGCATCTATGTGGGGCAAAAGTTTCCTTTAAGTTAGAAAAGAAACAAAGACATGTAAAACTGAAATGCTAAATCAAATGCAACATGTTCAAGGCTGTTCCGTGGTATCGACCTTTTAACAAGTGTCTCCTCGGAGGGAAAATCTAACTGGCCATTTAAAGATCCAAGCACAACTGTGTGACTTGGAGGCAGCCCTGTGTGGCCCGCCTTTGACGCTGAGCAGGTTTTGAGGGGATGGAACAGGCTCAAAGCCTCTCTTCTCTTGAGCAGAAACTGAACAGATGCTTCTCCATCCCAGGTCATCTCCTCCCTCCCACACCACCCACCTCACAGAGCCCCCAGTGGTCATGATTGCCTTTGATGATGCTTCAAGTGCCCCCATAGCCCCAAACCCATAGCCAGTATCAGCACATTTCACCCATTCATGCACAAGCTCTCAATACTGATGCCAAGCCAATCTAATCGCTCTTAGGTTTCCAATCACAGTATGAAAAGGATTAGGCAGTTGACATTTCAGGGATGAAAAAATGAATTTAATGATTCACAAAAGAAATAAAAGCACATTTCTTTACAGGCTCACGTGTGGCCCAGATAGAGAGAGAAGTCCTCGTTTAAACCCAGCCTGATTGTTTCCACAAACAGAGAAAGGCCTCTAGGCTCTGCGGTGTGTCCTGGGGAAGAACCACGCCAATCCATTATTATTAGCAACACGTTTATTGGCGTCGATACAGAGACTTACACAAGTCCTTTCTTTTTTAAGAGAGAAATTACAAGGTATTCAAGTTACGATTTTTAGATAACCTTTCTACACTTGAGACATTAGTTTGTAAAAGGTCAGTGTTCCCCCAACATGACATTTGCTTATAAAGTTTAAAAGTTACTGGCTTTGCAGCTCTTCAGGAGATGAGTGTCCTGGGACTTCCCCCTTTGGTGTCTGAGCTAACAGCTTCCCAGGGACCCTCTAAATACAGAACATACTATAGCTCCCTATCTGTTCAAGTTATTAAGTACTAAAAACACAAAAAAGTTTTCCATTAGAATTGTGCCATGGGACTGGAGGAATTAAAAGCAAACCAACTTAGACTTGATAGAATTTATTCAAATGTACAATCTCTGAGGTCCATGTCTACTGACTAGATGTCAGACATGGACTTTGGTAAGTTCATAATGCCCAGACTTCTGCCAGTGACCACGGCCCTCGGGTGGCAGGGTGGCTCCGTCTCGCAGGGCAGCTTCTGGGACGAGGGAATTAATTGTGAGTCAGTAGGCCCTGCATGAAGGGGGCAGCGGAAAGGTGAGTCACACATGGGAGTGCTCACTAGGCTATGGAGACAAGAGCTGCTATGATAAGCCTGGTAGCAAAGAGCACAGGCCAGTTAGAGAATGTTCACTGCAAATTAGAAGCTTCTGTAAACACAATCAGGCAGGGTTAGAGAGGCAATGCGCAAGCGGTAACACGAAAAGCAGAAGAGCTTGTGCAATGAATTAGGGAAAGGACAGTCAGGCTAGCGGTCCAGGGAAACACTTGATTTCAAACAGGAAAAAGTCAAATGGGATGTATCCAAATCGGACCTAAGGCGGCTGTGGGCGGGATGCAGTACCTGGAAGCACCACCAGGGGCAGCACACATTCCCCGGCTCTCTCAGGGCACCGTGGGCCTGTGAGCACCATAAGCAGCAGGAGACCACAGCCCTGGGGTGTGGGGTGTGACCCTGCGCTCAGCTGCCCCATAGGGCAACCGCGTGGGAGTTTGGGAGGCTGGAGGGCTTGTGCTCCTCCTCACCAAATCGTCTCACCATCTTCCTCCTCCACTCCTTAAATCCTCAAACCAAGTACCTATTCCCAAGTCCTTGATTCAGCTGAGACTCCAAACGTCTACAAAGGCCTCTGTCAAGCTCCACTCAGAGAACTGACTGGACATTTCCTCAGGCTCCGTGACGCCAGCAGTGACATCCTCACTCCAGCTCTGCTTCCCCATCACCCTCTGACCCGGTCACACACGTGTCCCAGCGTGCAAACAGAACAGCCCCGGGGGGTGCTCTCGGAATCCTCTAGGTCAACGGCCCACTCTCCCAGGGGTGTGACGTCCTAGTGTTTGGGGGACTCGGGGAAGCTCTGCTCCCTGTCCCGCCAGCCCCACCTGCCTGGACCCTCCTAACATACTGAGCCAATATCTCCAGGGAGTGGGTGGCTGAGGTAGCGAGACGAGGGCAGGCTCGTCCTCTCTCCTTGGCTCAGCGTCCTCTTGCGCTCCCGGACCAGGGCCTTCTGGTGCCGCTTCATGCGCTCCAGCTGCTCCTCCGCACTCATCTTGCCCCGCTGGTGGTCCCCTGAGTACAGACGCTCCAAGGCACTCTTGGGTCTCTGAGGAGGAAGAGGCGAGAGACAGGGCAGCTGGGCTGGGAACACACAGGGCAGCCACACGGCGGCTTCATGCCCGTTCTGTGTCCGTCTGTCTCTCTCTCTCACACACAAACACACTCTATCTAGTTGGGCTCCTCTCGGCCGTGGAGAACCACTGTCTCGAAGCCTACTCATCGACACGACGCCCCTGGCCCCTCGGGCTTGCTGGGCAGCAGCCCATTCTGCAGATGCAGACACTGAGGCCCAGGCCTGTCCAGTCAGGCATACAGGCGGCACGTGGTGGGGTCAGAACCCAGGGTGCAGACTTCCTGGGCTCCCTCCTTTGAGCCTGACAGGCTGGGGAGAAAGGAGGGGTGTCCTCAGGAAACAGAAAGGGCAGCGTGGACTGTGGGGGAGACATCACAGAGCACACGGTGACAGGGGCCCTGAGCTCAGGAGGAGCCGAGACGACCTCAGAGACCATCCCAGGCCTCACAGGATCGCAGTCACCATCCACCGTGGAGCCCGTCCCTCTGTGCGTGAGGGAGCAGCGAGCTCCTCAGAAACTTCTCAAGGCCACTCACAGGGAAGGTCATCTTGCTGCTTTCGGCATTCAGACCCCTCCGGAGGGTGACGTAGGGCGCAATGGTGGACGACTGCTGGAGCCTTGATGTGGACCCGGAGAGCCCTAGGGAGGAAAGAGAAAGGCGAGTGTATTGGTGGTGGGGTGGCCAGGCCACCAGCCCCTCCCCAATCACCTCCCACGGCCGTGACGGGACCACGGGGCCTCAGCCAACAACCCGCTGTCCTTCCTTCCCAGGGCCTGGAAGAGCAAGGCCCCAGGCAGAGGATGAGGGGCCAGTCCAGGGGTGCCCTCTGTTCCCAATGGGGGACAGTGTCCCTAGAGATCTGTGGATGACCCTAGTCTTCCCTCACATGCAGAGGATGGAAAGGATGGAGGGGTCGGAATACCCTTCACCCCTTCCTGCTGCTGAACTCTCAGCATCCTGCATGACCCAGTTCAGATACCCTGCCTGTGTGCAGGCCCCTGAAATGCTGAGGCAGAACCAACTATTCCCAATACCCCTCAGAATATGCACTGGTTACTGACCACAGACAGTGTCCACACACGTGTCTAATTAAACTGCAAACCCAACAATGCCTGGTTGGCTGACTGAATGAGTAAATGGATGAAGGGATAGAAGAAGGCACCAAACATTTACTGAGCACGTACTATGTCGGGCACTGCTATGTAGATGGTCCCACTGGCCCTACACAGTAAGCATCACTTGACCATGGTAGAGCTGCCCCATCTAAGGCTCACAGAGGTTAAGAGATTTGTCCAAGGTACATGGCAGGGGCCTCACTGACATGTGCTTCCTGTGTCTGGGTCCTACGGCTCTGAGGAGTCATCTCACCCTGGCCGGCTGCTGCCACAGCCTGTGCTTTCTCCATGAGCAATGATTCTTATCAGGGGTGGTCCTCACACCCTGACGAGAACACCACCAGCACACAGCACGTGGGAAAGACAATGATGAATGTCCTACCATGTCCAGAGAATCCCAAGCAACAAAGAACTGTCCTGCCCACAATGTCACCAATACGGTCACTGAGAAACACCTCCAGGCCGTAATGAAGGAAGGCTGCAAGGCCTCCGGGCACAGTATCAAGGGCAGCCATGGCCCCAACTCAGCAGGGACCAGCTCAGGCCACAGCAGCCTAGACAGTGTGGTGAGGCGGGAGTCACAGAACCCCACACGTGCCGGAGCCCAGCTATGTGTCCGTCCACCTGGCCAAGGGGGGAAAAGCACCTGACCTTCCGCCTCCGGAAGCAGACAGGAGGGTCAGAGGCGGGAGCATGGTCTGCCTGCTCAGGGGCTCCAGGAGGCCTCCCTGTATGGAGATTTCTGAGGAAGAGGGTCTGGCTTTGGGGAAAATGAGCTACGAGTGAGCCTAAGGGCCTAAGTCTGTTCCCATCCCCATGGGAACAGTGAGAAGAAGACCCGATTGAAGAGACAGTGTGTTTGTGTAAAGAAAGGATTCACTGAGTGCTAGAGTGACAAAGAGGACATAACCCTCTAAAGGCCCCTGGTTACCGCTCTCCCAGCCTACGCTGCCGCCGCTCTGCAGCCAGAACGCTGGGCTGGAATCCGGCTCCAACACTTTAGCTAATTAGCAAGTTAATTTCTCTGAGCCCTAGTTCTCTTATCTCTAAAATGGAGATAATAATAGTACTTTCCTCATAGATTATGAATATTAACTAAATGATTATAAAGGGCTTAACTCGACACAGTGCCGAGCTTTATAGCAATTGCTATTAGCATTATGCCCAGGAACAGAGGTAATAAAGAGAAAGAGAACCAGGATGTGGGCCCGAGAAAGGAATGACAGGCCCTCCCCGAAGCCCAGAACCCGTGGCAGCTGGGGCCCGAGGTCCAACGCTGCAGGCAGAAGGGTGCGAGGCACCAGGTGAGGGTTGGGGAGCAGTGATCGGCAGAGTTGGGGTTCCCAGAAGCCTCCGTGGAGAGTGGTGACTTACCTCTGCTGGGCAGCGTCTGGTACCTGCTCTCAGAGCCCACGGGCCCCAGGGGAGGCTGGGCCACGTCCCCACCGAAAGTCGTCAGCTCGGGCTCACTAACGTAGGACCGGAGCTCCACCTGCAAGCAGAGTCCGAGGCTGTCATACCTGCCCAGCATACCACCACCCTCCCTCTCCCCACCCACAGAGGGCAGCCCCAGGGTCCTCTCTGCTCACCCTCGAGTCCCCGTTCACACACTGCCCCTGCTCCCGATCTCGCTTCCTCTCGTCCGACTGCCGCTTGAGGCCCCGCACGGAAGTGTGCCGGATGACGGTGGCCTCCCTGGGCAGAGGCGGCACGGCCGGGGGCTGGTCCTCCGGGCTGTAGAGCTCAGGGAGTGGGGGCCTGGGAGGCGCCTCGTCTTCCTGCTCAGGGAAAGTGCCCAGTGAGAGGGAGCTGGAGGGAGGAGGCCTGGTGGCCCCACCCCAGTGGTGGCCCAAATGGCCGGAACAGGCCCCCACCCCAGGCCTGAAGAGCACAGCCACTTCAGCCCAGAGGTGCCAACATTCCCCCTGGCAGAGCCATGAACAAGGTGACACCTTGGCTCCAAATCCGTTCTTCCCTTTGAGTTGCATTTTCCATTTTTCAAAGTGCTGCCTATACTGCGTCCCCAAATCCGGAACTCAGGTCTCTACTCGCCTGGAATGCACCATAGCGGGAGCAGGCTGGCAACCCTGCACTTACTGGTAAGTCTATGACAGCTCCCCAT